GGGGGGGGGGTTGGGACGGGCTCGTGAGACCGACCCCGGGACGGTTAATCCTCACGCATACCAGCGCGCTCTTCGCCAAAATGGATCTTTCCCACTTGAATCTGTTGCTACCACGCGCTGAGAGACGTGGCTTGGAAGGTTGCCAGCTGGTGGGATGACAGGGTCTGGGAGTTAAGCCGCAGTGGCCCCAAAATGCGACCTTACTGGCGCTTTCATTGGTTTGAGATCCAAGCCACCGTTTGGGAAGGCCTGACAAATATATCCCGGACCAGACCGTGTGTGACACGCGTAGGTGGGTTGTTTAGATCTTCCAACCTCTCCGCCCGAGCCTACCTCCCGTCATCTTGTAGCCGGGCCAAGTTGGGTGAGAGGGGAGTACGGCAGATGCTACGAAAGCCTGTCTGACCGTAACCTTATTCGCGCAGGTGTCAAGGGTAATGCGTCCACTCTACTGGGGCACGCAGTGAGCGTCGCCGTTCACGACAGTCGGATCCCGAGGTTGGGCGTTCAGTCAGGAAGTACACCTTTTTGGAGTGACAGGTCGCTACAGGAACGCTTATGCACACGGCTGTTACTCCGCCCGGGCATTGTCTCCGGAGTCGGTTGGTGGCATTAGTATGGGTAGGAGTGGGGAGCGGTGGCTTAGTCAGGCGACGCTAACCTCCTCTAAATTGGCATACACTTGGGTCCTAAAATGGATCTTGACACTCGACTGAATGGAGTTTGCCGAGTAAAATTCTTTATGTGGGTTCCTATTTATTGTTGGAAGACTTGAAAATTTTAGAGGGGTTGCTCTGCTGACATTTTTTGCATCAAAAGAACGTCGGGGTGAAATTGCCCATAATCGTTGCACATAGGTTTCTTCAACAACTAACAGACAGCATTAATGCCTATGCCTGGGGGAAAACGCTGTTAACCCTGGATTCACGACGCAAACGAATAAGCGTCAGGGTTTTCATGCTTAAGAGGCTCAGGACAATAAACGATGTGTTCCGGTGCTCGACCCTTCTTCCTCGGATGGACTCGGCTGAATGTAACCAATCGCATTTGGGTTCCTATCGCCTCGGGACTGTTTTTCAATTCGCCACTTAGACATGGATGGCTTCATCCGGCATATGAATCCTGCATTGGTGATACACGTTTCGAAACTTTTACTCAAGGCCACATACAGGCTAGTCCTTCCTAACCCGCCTTCTTACCCCTTCATGAAATCCGTTTCACAATGCCATATACAGCGACGATTCTCGCTGTTCTTGATGTCATCTCCCGCATTTCGACCCCGTGCGGTCTGTAGACGCTCACGGCGGAACCCTCAGTATTCGCCGTCTACTAGTAGTTTGGTCGTGCCTCTCTTCCCCACTCCTCGACTGGGCTCGAAGCGTACTGTGGCCGATCGCGTCTGGGTTTCTCTCGTCTGGTCTCTGCCGCGAATAGTCTCATCCGGCGTATCAATCCTGCTCTGACGATGTCAGCTCTAAATCGCGTATACAATACCACATGCATGCCAGTCCTGTCCGACCCGCATACGTACCCCTCAAAGCTGACATTTGTTTCTGCCCTGGAAATGTCCGATTATAATCTATTATATACCGCCACATGCAGGCCAGTCCTGCTCGAATTTTTCTGTTATTATTTTTAGCGAGGGATTTTTTCTCCTGTAAAGTTAATCCAATCATTTTTAAACTTTTAAGAGGAGTTTTTTCACCTCTCGCTAATCGTATTTCTTCACGGACTACTAATTCAGAAACTATGAATTACATTTTGTATAGATTTTGCCTACTTCGTGGAAAATTCTCATGTAAATTTATTTTTACTCGCCTTGATGGGACCCTGACGGGTCTTTAATAAAAAATCATTATTATTCACTTATGGACGCAATTGTGTCCGAGTTGAAGTCGGTCGAGTGGCTTCAGGTCAGCTCGTCTGGGACGGCTCGCTCTAAGGGGTGAGTGACCTTGAGAGCGTGAGTTCTTGAACAACGACACCAGACCGCTCATGTTGGCTGCCCGCTACAGCTGTGTGGACCAGGGGGTGCGGAGTGGAGCGTCAATGTGCAGGATCGGCCGTGCCATCCACCTGCGTTCTGCCCCTCTCCCGGCCTTCTTGACTGCCTTAGTGCCCGGTTGAGGGAGATGAGGGGATGTTGTAGATGCTGCGAACGTCTACTATCACCATAAACTAATTCTTGCGCCAGTAACCGTACCTGCGAAATCTTGCTCTGTAGCGCACAATGGAGATCGTCAAAATCGACGGTCGAACTGCCGTGTATGTGTAAGTGATAAACCCATTAGTTGCGCAAAGTAAGTAGGCTATCGGGAAACGAAGGTAGAAGTATCCCAATAGTTACAAACTAGTTAATAAGAACAAAGCCGCCAGCAAATAAAAGTGCACGTGCAAGTTCTTTGTCTCATTCAAAGTTGTGCCAAGTTCTTCTATTAGCGTATTGTAACTGATTAAAACAAAACCGACTTAAAAGTCACTACAATACTCCCCCTCCTAGGAGAACGGAGTTCACGAAAAAATTATTGTTAATAGAAGGAAAATGTGGGAGTGTTATGCATATTGTACAAGATGGTAACGGTCGGGAAAACGGACTTGACGACTGCTGCGCCTAAGGGGAGGAGTCTGTGGGATAAGGGAAGACGCAGGGTTATTGGGCGTAAGTGGAGTCTGGGAAATAGCAAGTGGCAAATTGCCGAGTGAACGTTGTCCGGTTGGGGAAGTTGAAAGAGGCTGGGTATAAGCCGCCTTCATGCGATCGATTGAAACCACGTCGGTGCGGCCTCCACGGTCAATTGTAAAGTGCTTGTCCTTGCACGATAGTACTCGAAATGGGCCGTCATAGGGCTGTTGTAGTGGCCGGCGAACGCAATCTATGCGGACAAATACAAAAGAACATGTTAGTAAGTTCGGGTCGACGTACGACTTACTTGTTGAAGGACGTGGAGGATTGGCTCGAAGATGAGTCATGACTTGGCGCAATCTTTGCACATAATCGCTGGGATCCAAGTCGGCTGAGCTTTGAGAGTACCCGAAAAAATCACCTGGAATCCGTAGGGTAGTACCGTAGACAAGTTCGGCAGCGGAACACTCCAAGTCAGGCTTGAGTGCGGTACGGATACCGAGCATGACCAAAGGCAGATGCTCGCTCCAATTGGAAGGGTTGTCATCAGCTCGGAGCGAGGCCTTGTGTTGCCGATGGAAACACTCGATTAGGCCGTTGGATGAGGGGTGGTATGCTGTCGTGCGTATGCGAGAACATCCGAGGAGGTCGGTAAGGCTGTTAAAAAGTCAAGACTCGTATTGTTGGCCTCGATCGATGGTAATAGTTAAGGGGACACCATAATGAGAGATCCAGTGTTCCAAAAAGGCATTAGCAACGGAATCTGCAGTTATATTGGGTATGGGAGTTGCAATGGGTCAACGGGTTAATCGGTCAATCGCAGTAAGTAAGTAGTTGCAACCACGAGATGTTGGAAAAGGAACTACCAGATCGATATGGACATGTTCAAAATGTGCGTCGGGTGCGAGAAAAGTGCCAATGGGGGCTTTGTTGTGCCGTCCGACTTTGGCCTTCTGACAGGCCAAACATGAACGGGTCCACTGGCGTATATCATTGTTCATGCTTGGCCAAACGAACCGATCGCTGACGAGGCGCTGGGTAGTGCGGATGCCAGGGTGAGCTAGATTGTGCAACGCGGCAAAAACATCTCGTCTCATCTCGCTTGGCACTACGGGTCGGGAGGCACCGCGCGATACGTCACACAAGATTGTACCGGGGGTGATGGAAAGAGGAATAGCTTCGAGTTGAAGACTAGTGTGTTGAAGGCTCCCAGTGAAAGTCGGCTGATTTTGCAGTTCTGCCATGCGCTGCAAACCGATGGAAGGGCGGGTGATGGCATTAATGCAAGGCCGAGAAAGACAGTCAGCAACTTGATTATAAAGGCCTTTAAGAAATCGAATGTCGGTGGTATACTGAGAATTGGCCGGCTTCGAGTGGTGAATACTTGTCAGAAGAAGTAGAGAGGGCATAAGTAAGAGGCTTGTGGTCAGTATAAATACAAAAATCTCGGATCTCAATATAATTACGAAAATGCTTAATGGCTAAATAAATTGCAAGAATTTCTCTACCAAAAGTGCTATAGCGAATTTGTGGGGGTGTCGTTGTGGCAGAGTAAAAAGCTAAGGGCTCGGTGCCAGTGGGCGTCTGTTGCTGAAGGGCAGCAGCTATAGCGAAATTAGAGGCGTTGGCCACAATGGAAAGTGGGGCATCAGGTATACAGTGAACAAGGGCGGTTGTATCCGCAAGAGCCTACCTGGCACGA